ATTTCAATTTGTCGGTGAATATTTAATAATGCCAATCCATTTAGTCTATCCTCGCAAGTAGTATTTCGCAAGTACGTTTTTAGCCGTCTGAGAGTGGAAAAAGAGCGTTCGCTAACGGCAGTTGTTACAGGCAATGTTACAAATATTTGCAGTAGTTTGTGTACTGTTGGAAATATTTTTACGTCACACATTAAAAAAGCTTGATGAGCGTTTTGCGGTACATTTCCACTTGTAATAATGTGGCGCCACCACAGTTTCAGTTCTCCAATGCTTTCATCGATGACACTGCTGTTAATCAAACGTTCATATTTTTGCATAAGTATTATGGCATTCTTTTCCTGTTCTTTGGTAAAACCCGAGTCATTGGGTAAAAGACACATAAAACCTCTCAAAACAGATTTATGTTTTAGCAATCTGTCTCCTATTTGACATATAACCGAATCAAGGAAAGGAATAAATACAGCTATTCTGTAATACTCTTCAGGCGTATTTGCCATAACATTGCAGCGTTGAATTTGTTTTCCAGCTCGACGTGGAATAAGTATATCTATGTCGAAGTCCTCACAAATGTCTTTGACTTCATTAAATACGGTAGTAAATTCTGATTCAGCATCCTTCCGCATATTCACTAGTAGGCTACTTGAATCTTCTGTAAATTTTAGAGCCGCAGATAGATCAAAGTTTTCTGTTTGGAGTATTCTGCTGACAGGAAGTGTTATTGCAAAGATTTTTGAGATAACTCTAAGAGAAACTTGAAACTCAAGACTCCTAATTGCACCTAAAAGTTGAACCGCTGTTGAAGAAGTTGTTGTATCGTGCCAGGATGACATAATTTCCAGTGCATCAACAGTTGCTTTTTGAAGCTGTATAAAAACGTTGACAGACTCATGACGCTCAATCCATCTGGTTGCGCACAATCGTTTAAGTCGAGATGCTGATGCTTTAGGTGTTAATTTCTCTATTGAATTTGCAAGCAAAGATTGTCGTTTTGGTGTGTTAAAAAAGTTGTATGTACTATTAAGAATTCCCATACAGTTTCTTACAGCTGGTAGTTCGCAGGCATCAGAAAGTGCTAGGTTTAGACTGTGAGATGCGCAATGCACGTAAATAGCCAAATCAAATTTCTCAGCAACATATTGTTGCGCCCCATGAAGTCGACCACTCATTGCAGCGGCTCCATCATATCCTTGACCTATCATAAAATTACCGTCTATGTGTAAATTTGCTAGAGTGTCCATTAAAACATTTGCAAGTCCTTTGCCTGTTAGATCAGTTACACCTACAAACTGTAGGAAATCCTCCCTTATTTTCTTTATGTCGTTATCATAGTAGCGAACACACAACGAAAATTGCTCCATACCAGCTATATCACTAGTTTCATCGGCTAAGACAGAAAACAATTTAACAGAAGTAATTTTCGCAACAATCTTTTGAACAATTAATTTATTGCACACATTTATCACTTCATTCTGAATGGTGGGACTTAAGTATCTTGCATTTTTTGAAGAATTTTCTAGATGATGTTTAAGTGTTTCGTCTCCACCCATGGCTTTGTATCTTAAAAGAGCTCGAAAATTTCCATCATTTTCGTCAGGATCCTCCAACTGAAAATTTCCGAAATCCCTGTGCCCCCTAAGTGCAAGACCTTGTCGGCCGCAAAAAATTATAGTTTCTATTATGGGCGCTAACCTTAAACGATTTTCTAGAATTTGTTGACTTACTGATGAGTTCAAGGCGATGTTAATAGGTTCTATTTTTTTCTCCATAACCGATTTACGATTTTGGGAAAGTAAAATTGCTCTTTTATGATATTCACATTGCTGGTGCTCATTAAACTTGTCTGTTGCCTTTTTCCAGTTTGAAAATGGAATTTTTGATAACTTACCTAAAGGCTGACTACCTACACCACCATAATTCAAACTAAACAAAACACAATATTTGCAAAATGCGCCATCAAGTAATTTGGAATAAGTCAACCAGTTCCACCTAAGTAGCCACGAATATTGAAACTTTAAATTTCTTTGTCCGCTTGCTGGAAATTTAAAAAGTTCTTCGGGACGCCAGATGTTTTCTAATAAATACAACCGTGTATCATCTGTAATAACTCCTTTGATAAAATTGCCGATATCATTTGCACAAGAAACAGTCAAAGGTGCTGAATTTATGGAAATTTCTTGATGTAATGTAGTTTGAGAGTCAATAGTACCATCTTCATTTTTATCATTTTCAGTTTTATTTTTCTTTGTAAAGAAATCAGTTAATAAAGTAGTTTTAAATTTCCTTTTTCCATCCGACATCATTAAAATGAATTTAAATTGCTTTAATTATCAAAAAGATACACATTAAAACACGACTATGCGAATAAGAAAATAAATAATTATTGGTCTTTCTTTTCTGACTGTCTAAAAATGACTACTGTAGGTTCCTGACTCTACATCTATATTTAACCACCTACGCAGTTTTTATATCTACCAACACTAAGTTTTGTGTCAACAATTGTGGGTCCAGCCCACGCTTTCCTGCCAGATGTGCATCCGGTAGTAATTGAGACGTACCCATATTCAAACCCACCCTCACCCCCCCCCCCCCCCCTGTCACACCCTTTAACTGATAACCTTGTGTCCTCTGCCATCTTTATCATTTTCAGTTTACTTATCTTTTTAAAAATTAAATAGTTTTCAGTTTCCCTGTTTCATCCGCCATTAGTGAAATGAATTTCAAATGTTTTGAAGTAGTAAAAACATACACATTATAGAACCTCAATGCGAATAATAATCAATTCCTTCGTTGTTGTTTTTTTTTAAATTTCTAGGCGCTTTCCGGTTGCACTACAATCATATTAGACAACAAAGGCCTACCCACGTAGCCCACCCCTCCCCATTCGACACTCCTTAACTGATCTAACCTTGGCCAACTTTCCCTTGGCCTACTGCGTTCCAGATTATTATACTTAACTTTAGCACGATAATAAAATTCATAACTAAATTCTACAGGCAATTCTCATCACAATGATATACATTGTTGTTCTAGAGGCTGCCAGGTTAAGTGTTTAGTGTTTAAGCCCTAAATAATATCGACACAAGTCAATAGCTGTAGCTTAAGGTAAAAAGGTAGTCATATTGGGGGTACATGGGGGGGGGGGTTATAACCCCCCCTAACCCCCCCTGCCTACGCCACTGGGTAACAGGCAGGTGGGGGGGGGGGGGGGAAGGGCGGCTATTTTTGTCCCTTGTAACTTTGTAGCAGTTAATGCGTATTTGAACTAGTAGCGTGGCAAAGAAGGGGTATAGGGGGGGGGGGGTGATTTTTGTTGGTACGCCTCAGGCTAGACCAACTGTTTCGCTCACGCAGACAGTAGTGTTCATTGTAGCATTTTATGGCAGTTAATGCATGTTTGAACACACATACATTCCCCATCCCCCTCCCCGACGTGAATGTAGTGGTGCGAGCGATGTGCTGGACCCTGGACTATGTCAATGTGTGGTGAGGACCAATGCAAGCTTTACACTTTCACGTCAGCGCCAGCAGTAAAAAAAAAAAACGGCTCTTTCACTAGCAGTAACAAATCTGTTTATTTCTCGACAAGATTTAAAAGCAAAAAAAGTACGATCTATATTAATTTTTTTTAATCTTGTGAGAGAGGAGAGTGGCCTGCTATTTAAAAAGTTGAAGTGGTTTGGGTTGGTTCACTGTGTTTACATACGATTGTATTTCCCTACTACAAACATTTAATTTACCGAGTTTAAAATAATTTTGCCAGACTTCTTTAGTAAAGCGGAATCCATTATAGATGTTGAGAAATCTTTTTTGGGAAACAGGTAAATACAGTGGTACCTAGACATTCGAGAGCTGCGATTTAGGAGATTTTGGGATATGAGCAGCATATCGAGTCAAACTAACAGGGTGCCCATAGTGTTATATAAGAATGTTCGAGAAAGTTTAGGGGAGATCACACCCGCTTGATTTTAATGAATTTTTAAATTCCTGGCATTAAAACGTCACTCAGACCACCAAGCTCTGATGGGTTTCTAACTCACGTTAGGGGGAAAAAGGCGGCTGGGCATCGTGCTGACCACAAACATATACCCTTGTATGCCAAGGTCATTGAAAAAAATGAAACTCTACTTTATCTTCACCATATGCCTTGGGCAAAAACTGGAAAATAATCTTTAGTTATCTTTTTTTACGGAGTCATCACGCATTTTTTGAAACCTATTACTGAATCTAGCTGAGATGATATAGGCTAATCCCTATAATGCGCTAAGAAAACATCGTTTATCTTTATAAAAACAGCTTTAAAATATTGTACAAACAGCCACTTGAATTGACGTGATCCCTGTTGTTCATTGTCCAAACTTCTTTTTAAGCCCATGTCAAGTCAAACTCTCTAAACATGTCAGGTCCAAAAACTCGGTCTTTTCGATTCGAAAATATAATTATCTAAAATTGCGAAAGAAAAACTATTTTTCCAATGCTGTTCGTATTTCTGATGCTTGACGTTTATGATATTGTGCTCCATGACTCAACCTCGTGCGGGCCTGCGCATCGTCTGCAAATTTGACATGTCCCCGTCAGATGTGATGAGTTCTGCCACTCACGTCTGCCCCCCTCCCCCCCCCCCCCCTCTACCCCGGCTCACAACGCCACAGATGGTTATTGTGATGTCCCAGTATTCTTCTGATTGCTTTCCATTGAAACAGTTGCTTCTTTTTTTTTGGTCTCCATATCCGGGCATTCAGAGTTGAAGCGTAGGGCATAGAGCCGAACAGAGAATAGGGCAGAGCAGGGATGAAGATAAAGGCAGTCAGATTTTGTCCAATGGAGGCCCATAGCTATCGGGGAGTAGCTAGACAGGTTTTCGCAAGCCTCTCCTAATGCATTGATGTTTAACCTGTTTAAGTATTAATAAAGGGTGTTATCGTACGCATATCATCTAACACGAAAGAGGTTTGGGGCTAGGTTTAACATTTTGTTATATTTTTTGATGTGGGGTGGGGGAGGGCAGTTTGACGATTTCATATAATACTACATGTTATTTATTTACGTTTTTGTTATAATTGTGTTTATGCGCGGAAACAACTGGTAACTGGTTGGAATAATTCTTAATTACAACATAAAACTATGCATTAGACAAACACACATACACAAACACACGCACACACACACACAAACACACATACACAAACACGCGCACACACACATTTACAAACACTCGCACGCACACACAACAAACGCGCGCGCACGCACACAATCTTGAGTTACAAAATGTGAGTGCAATTAAAAAGAACACTAAATGAATTAGTTAGATTGATATGGAGCACTATGCAACTGTCTTCTCTTGGAGAAATATACTCACGCCCACAATCTCTCTCTCTCTCTCTCACACACACACACATGGACGCCCGCTAGAACTTTTGACACAAACCAAGGATTCGAACTCAAGACTTTCGAGTTAGAAGCCGTCCGCTCCGCCATCCGACCTCTCCATAATTAGTCACGAAGCTTCAGACGTTGTTGCTAGGTTTAGTTCAGGATCTTCAAACATTTACTTGAAAACACAAATCGATGCCGGCTTACTGGTGAACGTTCAGCTGCGATTAATGTATGAGAGGTCTTTAATTAACCGAGGAACTCGTCTGATGTTCAAATAGATCGATTGAAAGATAAGCAGTGTGTTTTGATCAGGGGAACTAAAAATAGATCAAAGGGAAATATTTTTTTTTTGCCTGGGAGAAGAAATACATCATAAAACAACATAGAAACGCATGAATTTAAAATATATAAAAAAAAGGTTTCCAATTCGGGATGTGACTCATGTATGCAAAAAGACAAGTGAGTTTTCTCCCCTTTTTGGGTATCACGTGAAATACGTCACATCCGTAATGGATCACGCTTCCAGCTTTCAAGGGACACAACTTTAAAAAAAAAAAAGACATCTACATTTTATATCCAATAAGCATCGCTCATTTAGACGGCTGCGTTTCTTTTTTTTTTAATTTAGATGAATAACGATGTTTAGGAAAGGAAAACGCTAAGAGCATAAAAAAAACGATGGATTTCGCCGGTAATAAATTAGTTGTCCTTGCAGAATATAAATCTCCATCACTCATCGTAACGTGGTGATGTATTAGTGCCGCTTAAACGTGCATGCGACGCGACAAAAAGCTCTTTAGCTTTTGGAATTCAGCGCAGCAGCTAAAGTTTGGGGCGAAGATTGGGGCAAAAATGGCGCTTCTATGACGTCATTGGGCATTTTTGAACGTCGATTACTATGAAAAGGAGATAATGCGAAGTAAGAGTTGAGTATAGGGAGGGAGATCAGAAAGTGGGCGGTGTTTGTTTTGATATTTTAAATACAGACAGAGTTTCTTCCAGGCATCTCTTCGGGGGGGCGAAGCCCCCCCGAAAATTTTTTACCGCCCCCCCGAACGAAATGAAATTTATATAATTTATATAGAAAATATATACTTTTAACAGTGTCCGCCCCCCCGAAGAAAGTTTACCGCCCCCCCGAAAATTTCCAGTGTCCCCCCGGAGAAAAAAGAAGTCTGGAAGAAACACTGAATACAGATATAGATCTATATAAAGAAACTTAAAAAAATTAACAAAAAAAAACAGTTTTTATGTAAGGGGGTGAGATGTGTGATTATGTTATTGTTACACAACCACTCCCACCACACTACAACCCCCACCCCCAACACAACCCCCTCCCCCCCCCCCCCCCCCCCACAACCACCTACTACAACAACGGATAGCAAGTAGAACAATAGATCGTTCACGGAGAACTACAGTATGCCACTCAAAGAGATCACTCAATAGAGGCCTAAGACACCCGTGGTTACTACAATGTAGCCTCTACTTAAAATCTTTTCGAAAACCTGCCTTTTTGTTAGAGAAATTCACTACTTCTGTTTATTGACATGTTAATTTAAAACAACCATCGTAAGAGTATGGGTTCCTCGCACACAAATCCAAACCAGCAATGAAGAAAACATAATAAAACAACAAAAACAATCAGCTAAACATCATAAAATATATCAGGAAAAAAAGACCTGGGTAGATGAGGGTCGATAGCTGGGGACAGCTACTCATCTAGGAGAGACAACTCCAAAATCAA